AGCCAGAGCGGCCCCACCCTGGTTGAACTGCCATTTTGTTGTTTATGCAGTAAAACTTAAATTGACCCTGCCCACCCCCCCAGGGGAACTTACTTAAAAACAAGTCCCAGAAACCAGTCCCAGGTAACAAAGTCCAAGTACAAGGGTGGGTCAGGCCAGGTGGAGGTATTGAATCAGTGGGGGCCGCATACTGTCTCTTAGCTACCAAGGAGTATGGGCCCCGCCCTTTGGGCACCTTTTGGGCACCAATTCTGACCAAGGTGATAGGCTGGTTCAAATGTCTACCAGGGTAATTTGTAATTCAATTGGTCACTTATGTGTGACCTAGCATGACTGTGCAGCTTTCTCTGTGTTTTACAATTTCATTGGCCACCTGTGCATGGCAAGCCCAACCACATGGCCTTTGCTCTATAAAAGCTAGTCTGTGAAACAGAGAGAGGTCGCCCTCTCTCAGTCCGTTTGACGACGGTTGGTTTGATTCTTGATGCTTGGCGCGAAATAAAGCTTTGCTTGACCTTTGCTTTGTATCAGTCTCGCTCCTTTAATCACAGACCCATTATTGGGGTACCCAACATTGGGGACCCAACACTTGTAAACCCCTTGCTTTTACTTCTGATTTGTTTTAAAGTAAATCCTCTAAGTTATGTCAGTTTACTCCTATATAATTCAGCATTCATCTTAAAAATATATAGACATTCTCTTACATAACCACAATGCTATTATCAGACTACAAATGTGACAAAAATTTTTTTAAACTTTTTCTAAAACAGTCCAGTTTTTTAAATTAAATGTTTAAAATTAAAGTTAAAATTTTCTCAGTTGTCTCCAAGTTATCTTTTTTAGCAGGCATTGTTTGAATCAGTTATGTAAACGAAGTCTGAACATTACATTTTGTTGTTGGATCTGTTCAGTCTCTCTTTTTCTCAAGTAGTCCCCCACGACATTTAAACCTGCATAATTAATTGACTTGCACAGAAACTGGGTCAGCTGTTCTGTGCTGTGTTGCACATTCTGGACTTGCCTTTGCCTCCCTGTGATGTCATTTAACTTGTTCCCCATCTCCACACTTCTTATGAAACGAAGTTACCTGTGGCTTGAGTACACTCCACTCTTTTGATAAGGATATTCCTCCAAGGCTGTATACTTCATGTTATGTCACACTGGGTGGCACAGGAGGCCTCAGTTGTACTTGTGTAGTGTTAAGATTGTGAAAAACAAACCACAACAAGCCCAACATGGAGACACTTGTGTCTGAGCCCCACATCAGCAAACCAAGACTTCACATTGAACCTCATTGCAGTGTCTGCCTCTCCCAGGAATGTGACCTGCAGCCACTCGATCCAGAATTACTTGATCAGTACCAGTGAGGTCATCTGCCTGATAGATCCCGACCACCCCCCCACCCCACCAACAGTAGGCTCTAAGATACTTGTAATGTGATAGTATGGTTATCAAACAACAACAGCAACAAACCCTTCTTACTGCATAATTTTTATCTTTACAAATATTTTAGTTGTAAAACAAATAATATGTTAATAAGAGAAAGCAGTGGATACATTTCTTTAAAAGTAAGACGAAAATGCTGTCTTTCCAAAAAAAATGTTGTCCCATCTTGGGCAACTAATAGTTTTCCCAATCATTTTGACTTTTTATTTTCTACTTCTAATCTTATCATCTGTGTGGCTCCCAGATACTTTTGCTGTGACTCCTTGGCTAAATTGGGAAGGGGGATGCAAGCCCTATGACATCAAGTTATCCTACAGAAACTTCTTCAGCCTGAACTTAGAAAATTCAAGGACTTCTTGGGCCAGAAGCATATAAAATGAAAACTAAAAATGAACAAGCTGCAAACATCTCTAGGAAAAAAGAATTTTTTTTTTTAAATTTCTGATCTTAGAAGGGACACTTCTAGTATATTTCATCAAGTATTAAAATGGGGGGCCTGGGGGGCGCCTGGGTGGCTCAGTGGGTTAAAGCCGCTGCCTTCGGCTCGGGTCATGATCCCAGGGTCCTGGGATCGAGCCCCGCATCGGGCTCTCTGCTCAGCGGGGAGCCTGCTTCCTCCTCTCTCTCTGCCTGTCTCTCTACCTATTTGTGATCTCTATCTGTCAAATGAATAAATAAAAAATCTTTAAAAAATAAATAAATAAATAAATAAAATAAAATGGGGGGCCTGGCTGGCTCAGTTGGAGCACATGACTTGATCTCAAGATTGTACGTTCAAACCCCAGATTGGTGTAGAGATTACCTAAAGATAAAATCTTGAAGAAAAGTATTAAAATGGCTATTGATTTAAGATGGCTATAAATTTTTATCACTTTGAAAAAGTGTCCTTTTAACTATGGTTTTCAAAGAGTTTTTATTTTAATAAAACACTTACTGAATTAAAATAAAAGCTGTATCATATAATCATTTTTTATAATTTTTTATTTTTTTAAGATTTTATTTGAGAGAAAGAGAGAGTGTGCAAGCAGGAGGAGGGGCGGAGGGAGAGGGAGAAGTGGACTCCTGATGATCCCAGCACCCCAAGACTGTGACCTGAACCAAAGGCAGATGCTTAACCAACTAAGCCACTCAGGCAGCCCTCATATAATAATTTTTTTAAAACATCCCCGTATTTGGCATTTAGATGGTCTCAGTTATTCGCTATTATACATAATGCTGGCATGAAAAACTCTGTACAGGAATCCATTTGGGAAGATGTACATTGGGGAAATGAAGAACAGAATTTAACCACCAAAAGAATCAGTGACTCAAAGTAGAATAAGGATAGAAACCCTAGCAAGGAAACTGAGCCACGTGACCAGTCCTTGTTGGTCAGCAGCTGATCAGGAAGTGGGGGGCTCAAACAGAGCACCAGGCCACAAGGGGGATAAACAAGGGTGAGTTTGTTTATTGGTTAGAAGTAGAGTGGAAATGAGGAAGGAAATCCCTGTGTATGAGTTTGAAAGCCACAATGGGAGTTCAGTTGCAATCAAGATGTCATTTCAACAGATGAAAAAAAGTGCTCCCTACCCACTATACTTTTGGTGTGGTATCCTAATAAACACGCAAAAAAGGTGATAGCAAGAATTTTTAGAAGGTTGAGATTTTAGATTTATAAGAATAATGAAGGCTTAACCCAACACCAGGTGGTTTGGGGTGTTCTATTTCTTGACTAATTTAAAATTTAGTCTGTCCGATTTTAGCCACTGGCCCACAGCACCATTTTTTAAGTAGCCAGTGGTGAGAGAGTTCCATAAACATGGTGGTGGCTGGAATTGTTTGACATGTAGGATCTCTTGTAGTGTGCATTTATTAACTGGAAATTTTTATGTTAAATCTGGAAAAGTTTGAATCTTCACTCAAGAGATTATTGACTATTTCACGGTGTAAATATTTTTAAGTAGGAAAGGGACATACCTAGTCAACAAACGTTTGTTGACTTGACTTGATTTATTACATTAAAACTGAGAAATGAACTTGAGAAATGAGAACAGAAAAATGTTTTAAGATGAATTTAGCCTAGAAAGGAAGGAAAATGAAAGGTATAAAATCAGGATAAAGGGAAAAAGAATTTTTTAAGAGGACATGAATAATTATTACAACAGTTATGTATAAAATGAAAAACTGAAAAAACCCAATGTCCAAACAATAGAGTGATAGACACAAAAATTTAGGACCCATGATTTTTAAATGTAATTATATAAAGTTATATTTTAGAAAACACTAATTTGAAAAGATCTACACACTCCTTGTTTATTGCAGAATTATTTACAATAACCAAGATATAGAAGCAACCTAAGTGTCCATTGACAGATGAATGGATAAAGAAGATGTCAATGTGTATATATACAATGTGTATATATACAATGAAATATTACTCGGTCATAAAGAAGAATGAGATCTTGTCATTGTGACAACAGAGATGGACCTAGAGGATATTATGTTAAGTAAAATAAATTAGAGAAGACAAATACTGTATGATTTCACTTTTATGTGGAATCTAAAAAAGAAATAAACAAAGCAAAAATAAACCTGTAAATACAGAGAACAAACGAGTGGTTGCCGGAGGGGAAGATGGGCAAAATGGGTGAAGGGGAATGGGAGGTAGAGGCTTCTAGTTATGGAATAAATAACAGGGTGAAAGGTACAGCATAGAAAATATAGCCAGTGGTATTGTAACACTGTTGCATGGTGACAGATGGTAGCTACATTTGTAGTGAGCATAGCATAATGTATAGAGTTGTCCAATCACTATTCTGTACACCTGAAACTAATGTAACATTGTGTACCAACTCTAATCCAACCCCCCCCACCAAAAAAGTTCTATTTTAATGAATGGGAAGTTGTATGATGTTACCTTAAAAGGAATAATAAATCTATATATTCCACAGAGTGATTTCAAACATGTAAAATAAAACATGCACAGGAAAAAAGAATAAAAACATCAATGTGTTATCAGTGGTTATTTCTGGGAATTAAATTTTAGATATTTTTCTCTTTATATTTCTTTGTTTTCCAGCTTTTCTATACTTGCACATATATTACTTTTGACAGGGGTAGGGGAGAATTTTTCTCCTCTTCCTTTTAACCTCTTTTTAGCTCCATAGTATTAGTAAAATCCTTTTTTAGATCTCCATAAATTTCCTGGCTCCTTACTATTCAGTGGACAGATTCTAGAGAAATGATGAGCTCTACCAAAACTAGCATTGAAATGGTTGTCTCTGAGTTAGAGACTTTTCATCCACATTTTTCTTTTGCTAATTTATTTGTAAATAAATACATTTATAAATAAACTGTTATTTTTTTTAATTAAGTAGGCTCCACACCCAACTTTGAACTCGAACTCACAACCCTGAGAGCAAGAGTTGAATGCTCTACCGACTAAGCCAGCCAGTCACCTCTATTTGTTTTGTTTTGCTTTGTTTTTTCAATGGATGAGCATAATTATACTATAGTGAAGGGTTAAGGTTTATAATGCTTACCTTCAAGTAAAGACTCAATAAACATGACTTCATTTTTATCATGTTTCACATATTTAATAAAAATAACCTAACTAGAAACCCAGTGTATTTCAAATATGCCAACTAAAGGTAAGTATAATATTCTTCTTCATTGTTTCCAGATGCTTAGCAAATTTTGCCACTAGTCTTTCCTTGCCTTGTATTAATTTATAGATTGGAATTAATTACCAACAATAAGAATATAGATTTTTTAATACATCTTAAACTGTGAAACAAGCTTGGGTTCTGTTTTTCAGACATCAGGTGGAGGAAGTGTCTTCTTGATGGAAAAAACGTATTCATCTTATCCTAGAGTAAAGAAAATAGTGAAAAAATCAGTAAATTTTTACTTTGGTGAAATGCTCTTTAATCCCAATCCCCTTTTAATCTAAATTTGACTTAATGTTCCCAACAGCACTTCATCTGGTAGAGCAGAATATAACAACCACACCCATGTGATCCAGGTAACTAAAGAACCCACTGCTCAGTCTTCCAGACCCTCATTGCTCAGAGTACAGTGTCCCAACCAGTAACACTGGCATCACCTGGGAGCTGGTTAGAAATGCAGAATCCTAGGGGCTCCTGGGTGGCTCAGTTGGTTAAGCATCTAGCTCTTGATTTCAGCTCAGGTCCTGATCTTGTGGGTTGTGAGATCAAGTCCTGTGTCAGGCTCCACACTTAGCAGGGAGTCTGCTTGAGAGTCTCCCTCCCCCTTGCCCTCCGACCTTCCCCCACTTGTATACATGTGTATGTGCACATGCTCTCTCAAATAAGTAAATAGAGCTTAAAAAAAAAATGCAAAACCCTGGGCCCTACCCGACACCTACTGTATCAGAATCTGAATTTTAATAAGATTGTCATTTACAGACACATAAAAGCTTGAGAAATACTGGGCTAGACAAGTTCTTTAGTTGTTGTATTATATGCCACAGAACAAGAAGGAGATGACAGAAGGAAAGGAATAAAACTTATTAGTATGATGAAGACAGTGGCTGCTTCGCAGTTTCTAAGAGAAACATGTTTTAGAACTAAAATTAGATAATTATGATTCTAAATTTTAAATTATTTAAAATTTAAATTTTAGATAGTGTGCCTTAAATGTTGGAAGAGTCATAACTACAATGACCATGCTATTCATGAGAAAGAGGAAAAAAAGCTCAAGTGAATAGGAAAAAGATGGCCTAAGGACTGGCTGAGTTATCTAAAGGAAGTGTATCTTATAGAAGTTCCTGGAACTATGCTAATCTATGGAAAACCTGTCTTTGAAAGAATCGGTTCTAAGGTGTATGTACAATATATGCAACTTTTCATGATTGACACACTAAAATCAATAGGTTCCATTGCTTTTCCCTCTATTGTTTACATTCTGTTTCATTTAGCAGACTCAGGTAGGGAAAGCCTAATACTTCTGGGGAGGGAGAGATTTATGTGGGTCAGCAGCAAGACGATTCTGAACGTATAGTAGGCATCCAACATACACTTCCTGGTTCATCATTCATTGGTCATTCTCACGACAACAAGTGACCGAGTACCTGCTGGGCCAGGCACCATGCTACGTTCATGGTGGTGAGTGAAAGAGACACAGTGCATGCTTTCCTGGAGTTTCTGATCATGTATGAATTACTGCTGATCAATGTTGTAAAATTCTCTGTGGAATGTGTTCATCTACGATATTTCTGTGCCTCTCATCTACCTTTTTTATTGATAATGAGAGAAGTCTAATTCTTCATTATCAGTCTGATTCATGTAGGTTGATCAGTTGTGATTGGTATAGCAGATGGTAGGAGTTCATATAGCAAAATGCAGCTGATAACTAACAGATATGAAACTAAGATATATAACTATAGCAGTTATATATTATAACATGATCACTGTTGGGGCACCTGGGTGGCTCAGTTGGTTAAGCGTCCCACTCTTGATTTCAGCTCAGGTCATGATCTCAGGGTCGTGAGATCAAGCCCTGCATCAGCCCCATGCTGTGTGTGGAGTCTGCTTAAAATTCTCTCTTCCCCTCTCCCTAGCCTCCACCACTCACACGCATATGTTCTCTCTCTCTCTCAAAAAAAGTTTATAACATGATCACTGTAAGTGCTTGACATGGGCTGTAGATAGAGGCCTGGAGGCCACTAAGAAGTTACTGTGGGTGAGTAAAAATGAGTGGGAGCAATGAACAAGTCTCTCCTACACTGTATGGGTGAAAATAATGCAATTATGGTCAAAGTCAAACACCCATTTTTTAAAAATCAGATGCTCCCACCTGATGAATTCAGTCATCAATTGGACTTTAATGTCTTCACATGAAGGTAATTTGTTCTTCAAACCAGTTTTATAATATGGCATGTAGAAAATCATTCATTTTAAAAATAAATAGCTTTGGGAGTTTTCTTGGATTGATGGATTTACACACTATAATTAGAACCTGACAAATTGGGTGGAAAGTTGAAATAAACAGCCCTCAATGGGCAAGAGGCCCAGACTTGAGTTGAATCAAGCATTACTTCAGGACACTGCTCTCTTTGTGGATTTTGAGTTTAGTCGTCTCCCAGGATCATTCTAACCCCACGTCCCCTCAGCCCTGGCCTTTGTGTGGGTTTAACTACCACCCCCACTGGTTCCACCCTTGTTGTCCAGTGACTAGAAGTTACTGGAAGTTAAGAGAGTCATCTCAGAAGCCGGCGGGACACAGATTTGTTGTTCTGCCCTCACAACCTCCTAGACACAGGATCTTGAGTAATGTAATGTTTCTGTGCCTCAGTTTCCTCACTGGGAAAGTGGAGATTAAAACTCCCATCTTATGCGATCATGTGAATTACATAGCTACATAAAACACTGACCGTTGTGCCCATCACATGGTAAATGGTGGCTTCTACTACTTTATCGTAGACCCCAAATCTCCATACTGGTTCCTTTTTGCTACATGAATCCCTCTGGTAACAAATTTTTGTTTTGTTTTGTTTTTTTTCTTTCTTTCACCATGTTACTCAGTCTCTCAGTGACTATATTTTCTCCCCACTGAATTCAGGTCTTAGAGGCTGCCTCCCAGGAGACCCTTCTCCTTTGTGGCACTTTCTCTGAGCTCTCACCCCACTCTAGGTTCAACAGACCCCCCTCAACTCTTGGGCACAGTTTGGCTCATAGAGGCAATCATATCAGTGGTTAAAAGCCACCGGAGACTGGCTGTAGGGGTTCCGATCTCAGAAGGTCCACTCACAGGCTGAGTGGCTCTCAGTCAATTATTCAGCCTTGCTGTGCCTCCATTTCCTAATCTAAAAAACTGAATTCTACCTGTTTCACGTGATTCTTGTAAAGATTAAAGCGAAGGTTATACATGAAGAATCTAGAAAAATAAGTGTGATACAGCATTTGCTATTACAAGTCATTTCTTGGGTGAAATTACCCAACCATGGCATTTACCCACTTCTCTCTTCTCATCCTAGGGTGACCTCCCAATTGCAGAACTATTTTTAGGATTCATATACCCTATTTCAGGTCCCTAGGGTATCTGGACACTGTTGGTGTTTCCATGCCAAGACCCCCACGTTCTCCACATTCTACCACCAATTTCCAGGCAGACACTGGTTATGACAGTGAGGAGTAAGTAATATTTTGTTCCAACCTTTATGTCTGTGGGGACCAGTGAGTCGGGCCCAGCTGGATGGCCTTTACGTCAAATAGGGAGAAACTCAGGGAGCCAGGCAAAGTAGTTGCCTGATTCTTCCCTAATTCCCTTATCTCCCTTTCCTCATTTCCACCAGGAAGCAAAGATCTGGAAAAAAGGGGACAGTGCACGATTCCTCCCCACCCAGGCTGGCTGTGTGCCAGAAAGTCCACCCAGGCTGGCTGTGTGCCAGAAAGGCTTCGTGCATAAAAGTAAAGAGTCGAGTGTAACTCAAGAATATGAACTTCTATTGTATCCATGGGGGAATTTGCCCAGCTTAACTATTAACTGTTTAAGTTCCATAATGGGGTAGTGTGGCTAAGCCAAAAGTAACTCAGGAGAAGCAAATCAAAACAAGATTGCATTTCAGGGTGCCTGGTGGGCTCTGTCAGTTAAGGCTCTGCCTTCATCTCAGGTCATGATCTCAGGGTCCTGGGATCAAGCCTTGAGTCAGGCTCTCCGCTCAGTGGGGAGTCTGCTTCTCCCTCTCTGTCTGTGCTCTTTCTCAAATAAACAAATAAAATCTTAAAAAAAAAAAAAAGTGGGGGGTGTGCCTCAGTAGCTCAGTCTTTAACCATCTGCGTTCTGCTCAGGTCATGATCCCAGGGTCCTGGGATCGAGTTCTGCTTTGGTCGGCCTGCTCAGTGGGAAGCCTGCTTCTTCCTATCCCACTCCCCCTGCTTGTGTTCCCTCTCTCGCTGTGTCTCTCTCTGTCAAAGAAATAAATAAAATCTTAAAAAAAAAAAAAAAGATTGCATCTTGAGTGAAACCTTGAAATAAAACATCCACCACTGAGCTGTGAGCTAATCAGCACACTTGGGGCTTTCAGCAGAAGTCAAGAATATCAGGATCTTACTTCTCAGCCCTCCGTGCCTTGAATAGTACTTGGCTTGCGGCAGCAAACTGTTTCTGCTCGGAGGTCCCAGCTTCAAGCCTCCCACCGGGAGATTCCTTTTAATGCTCCAAATCCCTTCCAGGGCCACTGTCAATATTTTCAGAAGCAAGATGACAATTATTAGCTAGGTTTCTTTTTAGTACAACATCTTTTAGAAGTATTTACTCGGTGATTATCTTTGCAGTCATTTGGTTGGAGCTTAATTTTGTTTGATTAATCAAATTACCCAAGGTCTTTAGCATTTGTTTCATCTCTTATTCCAGTTCATTGAATTATTCTCATAGGCAGTTAAACCTCTACAGTGCTATTAGATCATTTAGCTGGCCCCTGAAGACAGAGGTGAGAAGTCAATATAGAAACACATACACCGACACACAAAAGGATTGGAAATAAACTGGTTAATACAGACACTTCATGGGGTCTGCCCTATCTGATTCTGATTTAATTCGTCCAAATACAAATATTTCCAAAGATAATATAGCCCAAAGTTACCATATTAATTTAGCAAATACTTTCAACAATCTTCTAAAAAATTGACCTAGATGCTACTTAATCGCCCCTTAAATGAAAACAACAAGCTCACTGGAAACACCATAGACTAATACTCCAGATGCAATGTCTACTCATTGATACAAAGCAAATCGTCATCTTAACTCCTGATGCCATTTAGTAAGTACTGTCTTAGTGATCTGATTTGCACCAAAGTGTCCTCCGTATCTTAAAAGCACTTGAAAGTCAGTCAACAAGCCTCTGGTGAAAATCTGTCTTGTAAAAAACAGTGACCCAGCTCAAGTAAGGTTATTCAAGTTAGTTAAATATGTTGTTTTTACCATTTCTGGAGCTGCGAATTATAATGCCCAAATAATGTCCACAGATCCGAGGTTGCCTACTGATAACCACGCTAACGTCTGATTCTTCCCTAAAGGATTCCAGACCCTGTAGTGATTAGGGGCACAGTGTTTGGGTTTAGAAGGGATCTGGGTTTCCATCTTTGCTTCACCACCTGCCAGGAGTATGGCTTTGGATAAGTTAGCGAACCCAATGTGTCTCTGTTTCCTCAGCTTTGAAATGGGGATAATATCTAGCTCAAAGAATTATTACAGGATTTGGATGAAATGGATGTACAGTGCTTTGCACTCAGTAAATGGTAGCTATTATTTTTACAAGGACAATGATTTTCCTGTTCCAAGCATGGACTCAGATTCTGTTTCGATGAGCTGATTCACCACGTGGAATGTCAATACTGGCCTCTCCCTCCCCACTCCTGAATGAAGTAGCTGAATGTATCTGGCCAAGCTCGTTTCTTCCCCCACCCTCAAAGACCTTCAAGGAAAACTCCACAATCTCCTTCTGTCAAAACCTTACAAAGTTTAAGCTGTTCCTTGTATCTAACCCAAATCTTTCCCCACCCTTCCAGCCAGTTTCCTCCTCTTCTATCCTGTCTAGAGACAGGAAAGAGCTGCTCTCCAGCCTCTCGATGAGAGACTCTCAGATTTAGGAGTCCACGGATGTTTATGAAATGCCTCCTGTGTATACCTCCTGGTAAGAAACCAAAGAAGTGGATTTAGATTTGTTCCACATTGAGAGATGTTCTGGCAAATGGAAAACTGTTCAAGTTCAGGAGGCAGAACTATGTAGAAAAACCACATTAAATTAGATAGAAAAATTATACTAATCTAATCAAGTTGTGCACTTTCTGATGCAATCTGGAATCCAGGAGTATCTGGAAGTTTACAACTTAATAGGGAAAATACCTCAAATGTAAATGCAGATGCTCAGAAACGGGTGAGAAAAATAAAAGCAAAATGTAGTTATGGATAAGTATTTACTGTACTCAGGAATAGAGGCTGCTAGAAAAAAACAGCGCTACTTTGATACATATGATGTTAGGGTGAAGAAGTTACAGGAGGTGATATCTTCCACTGGAGAAAAAGAGGTCTAGAAAGAAGAACAAATGTCCTTGGAAACGCCTTTTTTTTTTTTTTTTTAAAGAGAAATCCAACTCCCTCTGGACATGCGCATTCCAGGAGGAAGAAGAAAGACAAAGAAGGGAGGCCAGCCAGGGAGGCCACAGTGTTGGCACACAACCTGAAAAGGAAGGGTGGCAGGACGAGAGAGAAGCTAAGAGAATGGAATTAAATCCCTTCCGGAAGCTCAGAATCTTCTGTGTAAGCATAGTTTGTGATATGCCCCACCTGGCTGGGGACCTTCATGCCGATGGGTGACAGAACGGGCAGCCAGGGCAGCGTAAGCCAACTCCAGTCCCTGCTGCCATGTGTGAATGACAATTTGGCTGTCAATCTTTCTTTCTCTGCCTCCTCTCCATCTTCACCCAAGATAATCTAGAAATCTAGATTCGTTTGTAAAAAGTCCTCAATTTTTAAATGTTGACAAGTGGTTGCTTTATTTAAAAAATATAATGCAGGGGCGCCTGGGTGGCTCAGTGGATTAAGCCTCTGCCTTCTGCTCAGATCATGATCTCAGGGTCCTGGGATCGAGCCCCACATCGGGCTCTCTGCTCGGCAGGGAGTCTGCTTCCTCCCTCTCTCTGCCTGTCTTTCTGCCTACTTGTGATCTCTGTCTGTCAAATAAATGAATAAAATCTTTAAAAAAAAATACAATGCAGAACAAATAAAAATATCTATATGTTTGCAAGATGAGCCTGGTATAGGGGTCAACTATTTGGGATCCTGAACCAAACTAAGATACCCCAACAGCCTAATTAAATACAAGTCATGGTGATCTGGAGTGGGTATGGAGGATGGCTCTGTGCCACGTCATGCATTTGGATGGGTGATATACAGGGAGGAGTAAGTTGAGGAGAGGTATGAGTTTCATTTGGTCATGTTGATCTTGAGTACTTATGGGACATCCAGTAAGGGAAGCTGAGCCTGGACACACGGACTTCAACAGGGACCATCACAGTGAGGTAGTGGTAGAAACAATGGGAATAGCCGAGATGATCCAGGGAGAGCCAGTGGAACAAGATTAGAAGACTGTGGGCAACACCATGGTAAACATGAGTATTTTGGGATGAGGGTGAGTGAAACAAATTTCTCAAAGGAGAATAAGAAGAAATATCCAGGGAAGAGAAGAATAAGGACATTGCAGTGTCAAGGAATTTGAGGAAAAAACAAAGTGTAAGGAGAGAACCATCAATTATGTCAAGTAGTGCAGAAACCTCAGGCCAGCCAAGGGCAGAACAGGACCATGGGATTTGGTCAAAATGCATCACTAGAAACACTATAGTGGGTAAAAAGCCAATGAATTGGAGATCAGACCTGAGTTTGGAATCCGGTTTTGCCACTTACTTAATGCATAACCTTGGACAGTAGAAACCTCTCAAAATCTCAGTTTACTCATCCGTAAAAAGGGGGGGGGGTTGTCATAAGACCTATATCACATGGCTTTCATGAGGATTTGTAGTAAGCAAAATAAAGACCCTGTCCTCATGCAGCTTATGTTCTTGTGGGACAGATAGTCAATAAAGAATATACAGACACATATGTAACTTCAAGAGGTGATTTTAAAAAAGCAGAAAGAAGAAAGTTGTATAAAAGATTAGAGAGTAATTGAGAGAGTAGGTAGTTTCTACTTTAACCTGGTAGAGAGGTTACTTCTGAGAAGGTGACATTTCAGCTGAAACTTGAAGGGAGAGGGAAAAAGACAATTGATGGTCTAGGGGAAGTGGAAGGTTTCTGAGGTGAAAATGGGTTTGGCATGTTCCAGAACATCAAGGAAAGCCGTATAGTTAAAGTGAAGTGGGAAAGTGTGGGAGCTGAGTTCAGAAAGGTGAGCTTCAGAAAGGTGAGCAGACCATACCAGGGGCCTGAAATCTAGCCTAAGAATCATAAGGAGCCATCGGAGGGTCTTGAACATAGAGGTGGTGGACGATGACTTATGTTGTAAGGGATCCCTTTGGGTTCTCTGCAGAGAATGCACTGTGGGGACAGCAGTAGAAGGTGCTAGAGGATGCTACTACTGAGCTTGTAAGAGATGATGGCGGCTTGGACAAGGCTTTAGTTGGGCAGCTTTGCAATGTATTTCCATTCAGATTCAACAGGATGAGCTGAGGACTAGATATGAAGTGTAAAGATTTGACTTTCAAGTGTTTGGTGTAAACAACAGAGTGAATGGTGATGCCATTTCCTGAGATGAGGAAAAGCTGTTGAAGAGTGGTATAGAATAAGAGTTCCATTCTGGACATGTTCAGTGCAAGAGACCTAGTAGACAAACAGGTGGGGAGTTAAACAGGCTTTTGGGATTCAACAGGGAAAGCAGAGGCTAGAGATAGAAATTTTAGAGTCATTAGCACACAGGACTAGATGTGTTCACTCAGGGAGTGAATATAGATGGAGAAAAGGGCCTATGACTGAGCTTGGAAAAGTTTAGAGGTGAGGAGGAGGGAGAGCCAGCAAAGACGATGGGGAGTCGTACCAGCAAAACCAGGAGGCTGAACCAAGCTGACCTCCAGGCTAAAGTGTTCCCAAAGGGAAGGAGTAAACAATTACATCAGAGGATACAGAGAAGTTGAGTTTTATGAATTTCTGGATTGTATTAGACTCTCAAGATCATTGGATTTGACCTTCAAGAGAAGGTCATTCACCATCTGGAAAAGAACAGTTTCATGGAAAAGAACAGGCTCATGGGAACCAAAGACTATTTGCAATGGGTTAAGGAGTAAACAAGAAGTGGAGAAGTGGAGACAATGGGTCTAGTGTACTTACTCTTAACATCCAGGAAGCAAGGCTGTCGGAGCCATACGAGCCCCTAAAAGTTTTATGCAGAATTCTGCATGTATGTGACAAGCTGTGTTCCCCAGAAAGAGAAGCCCCAGCTCTCAGCGTATATGAAGCCCCAGCTCTCAGCATATATTTAAAGGAGTATGTCACAAGAAAATCCTGCAATAGAAAATTCAGTGGCTCGCCCAGAGCTGCCAATGCCTGGAGAGTAAGCAGAAGGCACGGCACCCCCTCTAGAGGCTGGATTCTGTTGTAGCCAAGCGCACGGGGTGTCCAGCCATTTTAATTTTTTTTTTTAAGAACAGAAAAAGAAAAACAAATTAGTAGCTTGTTTTCCATAAGTAAAGCCCCTTTAAAATTTAACCTTACAGAATCTACTCTCAGCTTTGAAGGATTTTCTAGGCTAAAAGAACACCTCTGTGCAACCTCTGGTGGAAGTTATGAGAACGCAGCCCAAGCATTTCCATTTTACTTGAAGCACATTTTAAAAGATTGCTTAGAAAAATGGATTTTTATAATCACTTAGATTATCTCACAATCAAATGCATCCAATAAGAATAATACATCATCTAACTGTTATATAAGTTATAAAATTTTTAAGTGTATAAACGAAAGTAACCCCAGAATAGAATAGCATGAGACTTCACATTTTTTCTAACCACTAGGGGAATAGTGGCTCAGTCCTTTAAGCCTCTGACTCTTGACTTCAGTATGGGTTTTGGTCTCAGGGTTGTGAGTTCAAGTCCTGCATTGGGCTCCACAACGTGGAGCCTATTTAAAAAAAAAAAAAAAAAAAGGTCTGTGAGGGATTCTGGGCTTTTAAAGCATGTCTTTTCTCAAATGAACTATCAATGCCTAGAGAGATAACCCATAAACTATATGTATATACAGTAAAATCCTTGGATGATTTGACCTATGTAAATGACTTCGATTCTTCTGGGTCAGTGATCTTCAAATCGAGTCCCTGGACCATCAGCCCCAAAACCTACTGGAAACTTGGTAGAAATGCAAATTGCTGACGCCCTACCCAGGAATTACTGAGCCAGGGACTCTAGAGACCAGTAGCCCACTTTGAACAGGTTCCTGGGTAATTCTGATGAAATCTAAACTCTGGGAACCACTGTTCTTGGTCACACTTATATTGATAAAGATTGAAGATGTTACTGTGCTTTTCTTGGAAAAAATTCTACTTCTCATTAAGTAGAAATAACTCTGCCAAAAATGTGGGACAGCAATGTAGATACTGATACTTAGGCAATTTTTTTTTTTTGTAAAAATAAGCTTATTTGGACACAAGCAAAATAAGTATGAAATTAGCTCAAGAATTTCCCAAGGATCCATTTTTCTTTTGATAGCCATGGTTTTGTAATAAATAAAATAATTGGAGCACCTGGGTGGCTCAGTAGGTTAAAGCCTCTGCCTTCAGCTCAGGTCATGATCCCAGGGTCCTGGGATCGAGCCCCGACTCGGGCTCTCTGCTCAGTGGGGAGCCTGCTTCCCCCTCTCTCTCTCTGCCTGCCTCTCTGCCTACTTGTGATTTCTGTCTGTCAAATAAATAAATAAAATCTTTAAAAATAAATAAATAAATAAAATAATCACTCTACCATTAAATAGGTAATTTCGTATTCATTTCATAAGTTACACTTTGTCTGTCACAGAGATTACCTGCAGGTGGATTTTTAATGTGGCATTCATCTCTTTTAATATAAAGTTCTTCTTCTAGTACTTCCTTAATTCTCTTATGTGGCTCAGAATACAAGAATTTCTTCCCTGCAAACACATTAATAAAATTGATTATTTATCATAAATATTATGCCAAAGTTTCCATTATACCTACATGAATCATTATTTCTTAAAAAGATACATGCATCCATACAAACAGCAGCTGATTCACGCTATGACTCTATTTTGGAAAGATCCCTTTTTGGTTCTTTTGGGACCTTATACTTTCACATAATTCCTGAACTTTTGTGGTTAAGTTTCAGTACCTCTTTTAGGTGTTAGAAAGAAATATAGGGAGTTTCCTTCCTTAGCTTCAAGAAAACTCAATTATTTGATAAATCCTTATTAAAGACCTACTCAGTGCCAGGCATTGGGCTAGGGGCAGAGGACAAGCAATGAATAAGACAGATATGCCCATGGAGTTTACAATCCAGCTACATAACACAGGACAACCTCAGTCTTATTTAATCATCATTTTGAGAGGTAAATGTGAGCTGTAGTAGCGAATTGCTTATGGACATATGACTTTTTCCTAGCCTCTAAGCCTGGCCCTATAGGACATCACTGCTACTGTAGAGGACCAGCTTATTTGTTCTAAGTACCTTAGCAATATCTCGCTCCATCGCTGGCCCTTCTGTCCTTTCCCACACCAGAGCCTATGTACATTCTATTTTGTGCTTGAACTGCCTTTCTCCTAATATTTTTGCCTGGGTAACTTCTACTCAAATATCAAGTATAGGCTTAAAGCGCAGTTCTTTGGGGATGCTTTCCCTGACTGTACAATGTACCTGGATCCTTTCTTTGCATAGGACTCTCCTCTTTTCTTTCATTTCATTTATTGCAATTTGTAAATGGCTTCATTTGCTTTATATGCCCCTATTTATGTAACTATTATTTGAATATATGTCTTCCTTATCAGACCATAAATACCATAGGGCAGGGATGTTTTCTGATCAGCTCATCAGAGTCCTAGGACAGAATCTGGTGAATGCAGCCTTGTGAATGTCAGGGAACCAGTATTTCTAATCTTGGTACTCAAAAGCTCAGGGCAAGGAACCATGGAAAACCTAACCAACCCAACATGTTAGCTATTTCAGATGTTATCATTTTTCCCAGACTAACCAATAAAGAACACAGGTGAATAGATTTGACTTGTGTATGGACTGGCCCAAACAGGGTAAGAGACCACTGCCTCTGGTTGTGGTCCTGGGTCACTCCTGGTCATGAAGACTCAAACACACCCTCAGACATGAACAAGGTAGAATTAGATACTTTCTGCCTCTCATTTTTGTTTCCCAAAACTTAGGAGTCATATGAATGTAAGGTGGGGGTTAGCTTTGATCCTAAGATAGAAAAGGGTTTAAGAAACATGGCTAAGAGGGAAGAAAATTCTGTAATAGTTCAGTAGAACAGATGAGATTGCCTGCTCTAAGTTCAGTCTCTTGATGAATTTCAGCCCTGCTGCTACAAGAATTTACAGAGGAAATCACTAAAGGTTTTGAGGAACTGAGAAAAATTAGAACAGCAAAGAGCTTAGTATAGGCAAATATTCCCCATTCCAAAAAGGAAAGAAAAAAGGATGGAATTGAGGAAGGGAGGAAGGAAGGAAGGAAGGAGAGAAGGAAAGAAGGGAGAGAGGAAGGAAGGCAAGAAAAGTAAGGAGAGAAGAGGGAAAAAAGAAAAAACTTCTACAAACTCTAACATAGCAACCTATGTTGATCTTCACCAACATTTTGAGTGGGTTAGCCAACAGTTGGCTTGTGAGTACAGCTAATGAGGAACAGTAATTACTAAGTGTTGAGAACTACTAAGAACAGTATTATTCCAGACTAAACTGTTTTCTTTTGTTAAGAGCTGGTAATAACTGCTGTAATTTATTGAATGCTACTATACATATATTATTAGCATATTACATATTACTATGTAATATTACATATATATTAAATATATTATAATATTACATATTAATCACAAAACTATTCATACAAATTAAAAGTCATGCCTACCTAACTCTCCCCAACCCAAGTTACTAAACTAGCTAGATTAGGAAGTTGTCGTACCCACAGTGTAGCTGCATCTCAGCAAGGCATTTGATAAAGTGTATTTGTGGGAGGCAGAATGCCCACCCTGAGGATACTGAATGACAGATCAGGGACTTCCAGAGACAATCCTCAGAACTGTTGGAACTACCACCTAGTTTGCTAATTTGGATATAGGGAGGAGCTGCCTACCCACTGATTGTGAGAATGGCACAGACTTGCTGAATGGCAAACTCAGGAGTCAAAGGGCTGCTTCTATACCTGGGATGAAGTGCTAAAATTCATGGAATGGTACTGATGGGGATAAATATAATGACTTGTATTTAGGATGAAACAAATTTACTGCATAAATAAGAGAAAAAGCCTGGATCAAATGTTTTCAGTTGGACAACAGGGGAAAAAGAAACTAAGGATGACATAGACTGCTTTTGTTATATGTATTTATAATACAGTGTGCCTGCCAAAACAGCTCATTGATTCTGAGTCCATTTAATAGAAGTAGAAATTTCAGATCAAGGGAGGTTATAGTCCCAGCACACTATCTTAAACTGATCACACCTAGAATACTGGATTCAGTGATTTAATAAACTGGAGAATGTTGGAAGAGGTTAGCCAGCATGGGGAGAATGCTACAAAGTATTTTAAAAATGACTCTGAAGGCTATGAAAAATTCGGTGGCTGTTCAAATAGCTACTTTCATATAATTTAAGGATGTTTTACTGAGAAAGGACCACATTTCGTCTGTGTATATTTCAGGTCATATCTGATTAGGGAGTAGAAGCTACAGAGAGACAGAAGACTGTCTGATGTCAAAAACATTTGACCATGGAACGGGTACTTCATGTGGGTGTGGGTGGGTACTCAGGCTGAGGCCGGAAAAGGAGGTTCTCTGGGGGGTGAGGCACCAGTGCTTTATGCCCCAACCCTGACTTTCTGAGGTCCTCACAGTTTAGACACATGCCTTAATTCATCACTCACTACTTCGCAACTAGCCCAATGCCTGGCATGGAGTGAGGACTCAGTATTTGCTGAATTGACAAGTGAATGATCAATCCCACCTTTAGGACCCCACAGGACTAAAGAACCTCTCATTTCCAGCATCTTTAACGGGAAAATTCCCAGACAGAATTTGAAGTCAGAGTAAGGATGCCCTTAAATATACTGAATATGTAAATATACTGGATTTCCTTGTTCTAGGTAAGGCCTCTGCTATGCTGTTGGTAACCAAAGGAATGAGGAGGTATCCTGGTCGTATTAGGACAGATGCTGAGGGAGGAGGCCCTTTCTCTAGGAGACACTGGTTCTGTGGCTCTTTAATGAGGTGTCCTGGGAGCAGGGTGTGTGGCCCCCTGAGGCAGAGGAGCTGAGCCACTTCAGGCCCCCTCCCTCCTGGGGTCTGCTAAGCTCCTCCTGCAAGCTGAGGCGGGTCTCTAGAGAGGCAATCAAGAAGAGCCAGAAACTGCTGGCATTCCTCTTTGTCCTACTTATTACTTTCCCCATCATCATTCCTTAGCCCTTCCTGAAAACCTGCAGAGCACAGGAGACTGTGAAATATAAACTCATGGCACAGTATGGCTGGGCACCGAGGCCTGGAGCCAACTCAGGCTTCCGCCCTCTTGGTTGTGACTCTGGACCAGAACTGCCTTCACTCACTTGACCATCGTTTGTGTGTTTGGCAGGAAGGAAACCGTGTGTTAACATGTGGCTGGTAACTGTGAGATTCTACAGGCATCAGGTATCATAACTGATGAACTGAGAGCCCCAGACAGGTGAGGTGAGCGTTTTAAGTACTTCTCCAGCGCTGACTGAGTCCCTGGAGGCAAGTCATTTCCACTAGCCTCGACCTCAGGAACTGGCAAAAAAGATCCACGTGTTTATCTCTCTCTGCGTATGTATATATATGCATATTACAAACGTTTATACATTTTATATTTTATTATATATAAATTTCAAATTTTATATCGTACAGATATTTATAACTACACTCACACGTTTTTCTTTCAATACCCTCCAGGCCGATGCCACTCTATCAGGCTGGAGGCCTACCTGGGCGCAGGTAGCCTTTTGCGAAGGCCCTTCAGCCCTTCAGCCAGTCTCACTCCCGATCGCCCCTCCCGGTTCCGCTTTCCCGCGTTCCACGCGTCCCGCGTCCCCGCGGGCAGAGTGCGCGAGCGGAGGGGAACTCACATTGTCCGTAGGAGTCCTGGGGGCCAACCCCGCCGCCGCCGCCGCCGCCGCCGCCGCCGCCGCCGGGCTCCCCGCGCGCCCCGCGCCCCAGCCCCGTGGGCTGCAGAGGCTGCTCCCCGTCGCGGCCCGCCTCCGGCGCCGCCACCGCGGTCACCACCGCAGCTTCCTCCCGCCTCATGCCTCGGGGGCCTTGCTCGAAGCCGGGGGGCCCGCTGGCCTTCTCTGCTCCGCCGCTGACTGCCTGGGAACGCCCGGCGTCGCGGGTTGCCATAGCGACCGCGGATCCTCGCTTCCCCAGACGCTCTCCGCTCGCCTCCCGCAAGGGTCCCGCGCGCCCAGGACCGCGGTGAAGTTACGCGGCTGCCTTCACCTCCCGACCAACACAGCCAAATATCACGGTTGTTTCTCACCCCAGCGTCGCAGGAGTAGCTTTCCTATTCCCGGGCAGGGAAACCGAGATTCCGAAAAGCTAAGGAGATTACCCGAGGTCGCAGGGCCCAAGAACAGTTCGCCACCCCGCACAGGTAGGGGTGGGTGAGGGCAGGCACCAGACAGGTGAGTTCAAGGTGAGGTCGCTAGTTCCACACATCGCTGCGCTCGTGTCCCGCTCCTGCTACTCACAAGGCGATCAAATAAATGAATGTTGAGGTCCCAAACTTTTGGATTACGTTGTTTTTAAACAACTCTTATTTTCAAGCACTTTTGTATTCACGAGCTATTTCAATCTATATATAATGACTGATTTTACAGAGGAGAAAAATCAAATCCAGAAAAGTTTGATTTGAGTAGCAAGTGGGAAAATCTACAGCTATAGTTGGAGCATGACCTTGCTGTTGTTCTCTTTTTGCCATCATTAAAAAGTAAATTAGGGCGTGTTATTAATTTCCTGAAGGCTACGTGTGCATTATTTTACAGAGTCATAGCTCTACAAACTTGTAACCAAATACAGGGGACCCCATCTGCCTCCATTTCATCCCAGAAGCAACCACTTTCACCCCAAGAGGGTGAAATTTACAACCATGTAATGAAATGTTTACTTTGATGTGTTATGTTTTTCAGTCTTAGGTATCATATGTTGACTTCCTACTTTGAAAGAAAAGGATTTAGGGCTCCTTCATTATCCTCACCTCACGTGTACTTACTGCCCCCCTCAAACTCCTAATATAATATAAATATTACTACCACTATGTGAACTCTAGTCATAGTGGACCTATGTAATATCCTATGGTCACTTTTCCTGTCTGCATAACCTTTTAACTTTCTGGAGTTAATAACTGTCTGGATTTTTAATTTGCATGTCTTTTAATGTTCTTATCACTAATGAATTCCCGAACCCTTCCTCCTTGCTTATATGTCTCTCTTCCTTATATTCCTGTCTTATATGTCTATTAATACATTCAAAAATGGGAGGAATTCTGCCAATTTTATCTGTTTTTAGAAAGTTCTGGGCTGGCATGCTTGGGTGGCTCAGTTCCGTTGGTTAAGCGTGGGACTCCTGGTTTCAGCTCATGTCATGATCTCAGGGTGGTGAGATTGAGCCCCCCAATGGGCTCTGCACTCATGGCGGAGTCTGCTTCAGATTCTCTCTCCCTCTGCCCCTCCAGCTTGTGCATTCTCTCGCACGTGCCGTCTCTTAAATAAATTTAAAAAAACAAAACAGAACAAAACAAACAACTTGCTGGGCTGGTTGCTCTTTAGACCTGTGATTGCACAGCTGTTGTCTAGGGATTATTTCCCTCTGCAACCATGGCTCTCTCATGCATGGGATCCCTAGATTTGTGTATCCATTTTTTTCTCTTTCTTGGTATACTTACATTTTTTGTAAAGTCTAGCCCCATTGACAAATGGTATATAAGAGTGTCTTTATTTTACTCTCTACTAATGTGGAAGTTGGGCTGGGTAAACAACTTTAGATTGGAAATGATTTTTCCTCAGAATTTTAAGATCATTGTACCACTGTCTTTGGGCATCCCGTGTTGCCCTAGAGAATTCTGCTGCCATTCTAGTCCTTGCCCCTGGTTCAGGCCTCTCTTCTTTTTTTCTTTCTAGAAAGGTGGAGGATCATCTCTTTGTCCTCATTGTTCTCAAATTTCCTGAGGATACATCTCAATATGCATAAGTTTTTCATCCATTTTGCTGAACACTCAACAGATCATTTCAATCTAGAGATTCATGTCCTTTGGTTTAGAGAACTTGCCTTGAATTATTTTATTGTAATTTCTTTGTTTTCTCTGTTCTTTCTGGAACTCCTATTATTTATATGTTAGAGTTTTGATTTGTCCTATAATATTCTGACCTATTTTTCCTATCTTATGTCTATTCTCACACTACTTTCTAGGAAATTCCTCAATATTATTTTCTAAATTCTATTTTTCACTTCTATCACATGTTTAATTTCTCAAAGCTCTCTGAATATTCCTTTCTATAAAACATGTTGGCCTTATATCATGGGTACAATATCTTATGTCCCTGAAGATATTAATGATATATTTCATCTCCAATGTTCTTTTCTCCTTGTACAACTGCTGCTTCTGCCAAATTACCTATTCCTGTTTGTTTTGGTCTCAGTAGCTTTCTTCAATCTTCACGGGCTCCTTGACAGTCTTGCCTTATGTAGCATGGAAAATATGAATCTGTGTATATGGTGGGGGTTATTAACTGGGGGTTTTGCTGATGGGTGATCTGCTATATATTCAGTTATGGAATCCCTGATGTCAGTATTATAAGTTCTTATCTCTTCAACTGCTCTGATTCTCCATGGAGTGAATCTTCTAGTCTCCCTGCTGGAGAGTGTCGGTCTGGTGTCAGTGCCCTGGGAAGTGAGTGGGAGAGGTCAACTCAGGGTTCAACATGGGATGTTGATATTCATGAAATCAGGATGTAAATATTCATGAAATCCCCCTGTTCGGTATGGTGGTCCTGCCCTCAGCTGTGCTTTGTACCTTCCGGTCTAGAGGACCTCTCTTTGGCTTCCTCCTAGAGAATTAATCCCAATCTTCCACTGGGGTGGGATTCCGTCATCTAGCTGCTCAGAATAGGGAAATTGGGGGGTCTAACTGCTTTTTTAAATTTGTGGTAAAATACACATAAAATTTAACCATTTATAAGCCTATAATTCAATGGCATTAAATATACTCACAGTGCTATACAGCCATTACCACTCTCCATTTCTAGAACCTTTTCATTATCCCAAATAGAAAATCTGTACCCATTAAACAATAATTCCCAATTTCCCCCTCTCCTAATCTCTGATAATAACCTCTATTCTAGTTCCTGTCTCTATGAATTTGACTGCTTTAGGTTCGCTATATAAGTGGAATCATATAGTATTTTACATTTTGTGTCTGGCTTATTTCACTTAGCATAATTTTTTTTTTTTTTTAGATTTTTTATTTATTTGTCAGAGAGGGAGAGAGAGCGAGTGAGCACAGGCAGACAGAATGGCAGGCAGAGGCAGAGGGAGAAGCAGGCTCCCCGCCAAGCAAGGAGCCCGATGTGGGACTCATTCCAGGACGCTAGGATCATGACCTGAGCCGAAGGCAGCTGCTTAACCAACTGAGCCACCCAGGCGTCCCATCACTTAGCATAATTTTTTAAGACTTACTTATTTATTTGAGAAAGAGAGAGAGAGAGAGAGTGGGGAAAGGGCAGAGGGAGAGAATCTTTCAAGCAGATTCCCCCCGAGCACAAAGCTGAACATGGAGCTCGATCCGACAACCCATGAGATCATGATCTGAGCCAAAACCAAGAGCTGATGCCTAACAGACGGAGCCACCCAGGCACTCCACTTAGCATAATGTTTTTAAAGTTCAGCTATGTTATAGCATATAAGAACTGCATTCTTTTTTAAGGTTGAATAGTATTCCATTGCATGGATATACCAAATTTTCTTATTCATCTATTGATGGATGTTTGGGTTGTTTCCACCTTTGCTAGGTTCCAATAATGCCACAATGAGCACTGACAGACAAGTTATCTATTTGTGTTTCTGCTTTCAATTCTTTTGAGTTCATATTTAAAAATGGAATTGCTGAATCATATGCCAATTCCATGTTTAACTTTTTAAGGAATCATCAAACTTTTTCAAGTGGTTACACCATTTTATATTCCCAACAGCAGTGTACAAGGGTTCCAGTTTCTCTACATTCCTACCAACACTGGTTACTTTCCTTTTTAAAAAAAATTTAATAATAATTGCCAGCTATCCTAGTTAGTGTGAAGTGGTATCTCTTTGTGGTTTTGACTTGCATTTCTCCAATGACCAGTGATGTTGATCATCTTTTCATATGTTTATAAGACATCTGTATATCTTCTTTGAAGAGATATCTATTCAAGATATCTATTCAAGAATGCTTGTTGGGTTCTTTGTTGTTGTTGAGTTGGAGGAGTTCTTTATATATTTTGAATATTAATATCTTATCAGTTGTATGACTTGTAAATATTTTCTCCTATTCCATGGGCTGCCTTTTCATTTTATTGATAATGTCCTTTGATTTTAAAAAGGTTTAATTTTGACATAGTCCCATTTATGTTTTTTCATTTAATGCATTTGCCTTTGGTATCACATCCAAGAAGCCATTGCCAAATCCAATATTATGAAGATCCCCCCCCATATACTTTCTTCTTCTAAGAGTTTTATAGTTTTACTCTTATATTTAAGTCTTTGACCATTTTGAGTTCATTTTGTATTAACATTACAGTGTGATGTATGAGTCCAACTTTATTCTTTTGCATGTGGATATTCAGTTTTCCCAGCACCATTTGTTGAAAAGACTATATTTTCCTCCATTGAATTGGGTTGACACCCCTGTTCAGCGAGAAGTGTGCTTCTCCATCTCCCACTTCCCCTGTTTGTGTTCCCTCTCTCGCTGTCTCTCTCTCTCTGTCAAATCAATCTTTTTTAAAAAAAGAAATATAATTGATTTCTTGTATGTTGATTTTATATCCCGGAGTGTTGCTGAACTCATAAGTCTTAATAGTTTTTTCAGTGAATTCCTTGTGATTTTCTATATATAAGAGCATATTGTCTGCATATAGTGACACTTTTACTTCTTTTCCACTCTGGATGCCTTTTGTTTTATTTTCTTGCCTATTTGCCCTGGCTAGAACCTCCAGTACAATGTTTAATAGAAGCAGTGAGAACAGACTTGTCTTAACTTGATCTTAGATGGAAACCATTCAGTCTTCTACCACAATGTATGATGTTAGTTTTGGGGTTTTACAGATGTCATTTATCAGGTTGAAAAAGTTCTCTTCTATTCCTAATCTGTTGAGTGTTTTTATCATGAAGGTTAGCAATAATTCTTTTTTTAAAAATTATTTTAGTTGTTGCTTTAGTGTTTACAGTATGTGTCTTCAACTTTTCATGCACTACCTTCAAGAGATATAGCTTAAAAAACATATAGTTTGAGAAACTTCCATTTCTCCCCTCTCAGCCATTATATAATTGTCGACATATATTTTACTTTTAGATGTCATAAATTCTGTAAAAGTTGTTAACATTGTTATTTAAATAGTCAATTACCTTTATTTTAAAAGATTTTATTTATTTAATAATTGGAGAGAGACTGTGAGTGGGGAGAGGAGCAGAGGGAGAGGAAGAGAGAGAGTCACAAACAGACTCCCCACTGAGTGCAGAGCCCGTAGCAGGGCTCAATCGCAGAGCCTGAGATCTTGACCTGAGCAAATCAAGAGTCAGAAACTTAACCAAATAGTCAAGTATCTTTTTTAAATGTTTATTTTATAAATTCGTATTGTAACGTTTACTTGTAAAACCAATCTATGAGACCATTTAGGGCATTTGGACAATCACAAACATTTGTAATTTACCACCTTAACCATTTTTCAGTATCTTTACATTGCTGTATAACAGATCTCTAGAACTTCTTCATTACACAAAACAGAAGCTCTACACCCATTGAATACCAACTTCCTATTTCTCTTTTCCCCCAGCCCCTGGAAAGAACTATTCTACTTTCTGTTTCTGTGAGTTTGAATACTTTAGATATCTCATATGAATGGAGTCATATAGTATTGGTCTTTTTGTGACTGGCTCATTTCATTTAGCATAATGTCCTCAAGGTTCATCTCTATTGTAGCATGTGAAGGATTACCTTCTTTATAAAGACTTTGTAATAATCTTTTTTTTTAAAGATTTATTTATTAATTTGAGGAGGGGAGGTGCCGAGGGACAGGGACAGAAATCTTGAAGTAGACTCCCTGCTGAGTGCAGAGTCTGACACGGAGTCCATCCCAGGACCCTGAGGTCATGAACCTGCAATCACGACCTGAGCGGAAATCAAAAGTTGGACATTTACTCTCCTGAGCTACCCAGGTGCCCCAGGCTTAATAATATTCTATTTCATGTATATGCTACATTTTACTTTTTTATGTATATACTATATTCATCTGTTGATGGACATTTGGGTTGCTTCTACCTCTTTGCTATTGTGATTATTGATGTGATGAATGTGGATGAGCAAATATCTCTGTATATTCTGGATATTAATTCCTTATCAGATACATGATTTGCAAATATTTCGTCCCATTCTATAGGTTTCCCTTCTACTTGAAACTCCTTCAGATTTCTATTATCTATCTTCCATCTACTGATTTTTCTTTCCTTATCCCTCTACCAATTGTTCCATTTCTGCTCAAAAACACATAAAATCCTTACCTTGACCATACTAAGTGTCCCAAGCTTCTATTTTTTCTACTTCTTTTCCTTTGTGGCCTATTTTCTTGACAAGATAATTCATATCTGGTCTTCAATTGCTTACCCAGTTCACTTTTTTTTATCTCCTATATTCTGTTCCCACTCTCACCACCATTGAATTTAGTCTCTTAAAGGTCACCAAGTACCTCTCCAAATCAAGCCATGCTTTCTCATGTCTCTTGACCTCTCTAATAGCATTTGACAATGTTTTATGCCCCATTTTTATTGAAAGTCTCCTCTTGGTTTCCCAAACTGTCCATTTTCCTGGTTTTCTGGCTACTTCTGTCTTGGGGTCATGTCCCCATTGCTGTTCACCATTCTTTTCAGAATTCCAACTTCATCAATGCAGACATTCCTTCAAGTTCTCTCTTTGCTCTTTTCTCTCTTTTTGCTATTTTGTTCAATTCCAGCACTTTAATTATCACCTTAAAATGCAGGGCCTTTTAAATATCTCCAGATTCAATCTTTATCCTGACTCTAATCCTGCATTTCCTTTTTTAAAAAAAGATTTTATTTATTATTTATTTGACAGAGAGAGAGAGAGAGAGAGAGAGAGAGAGATCACAAGTAGGCAGAGAGGCAGGCAGAGAGGGAGTGGGAAGCAGGCTCCCTGCTGAGAAGAGAGCTCCATGTGGGGCTCCATTCCAGGACCCTGGGATCATGACCTGGGCCAAAGGCAGAGGCTTAACCCACTGAACCATCCAGGTGCCCCGAATCCTGCATTTCTAACTGCTGGTTGAACATCACAGTCATAAAACTTTGGAGCAGCAAGAAGCCTAGAGATCATCTAGTTAAATAGTCTTACACTATTCCACAGGACCCAAGGGATTTCCTGCAAATAGAGCAGGTGCTCCCTTATCTCAGGCAGCTCCACTTCTTTCTGCATTGTTCTTTCACTTCATACGTGTGTACTGAATGATTCCTTAACGTCTTATAGACATTAAAAGAAATAGAAGATATTATGAATAATTTGATGCTAGCAAATTTGACAACTTAGATGGAGACAAATTATTTCCAAAACACAACTTGCCAAAACATGCCCAAGAAGAAATATAAACTTTATGTAGAAGTAATTATAGAAACAGAACTATTAAAGATCTTGAGCTCAAATTGAAACCCGTCCTACAAAAAAAACATAAAGTCTCCCTATGCAATTCTTCCAAATTTTTAAGAAAGCTTTAATATCAATCCTATCCAACTCTTCCAGGAGTTAGGAAAAAAATACCAAAATCTGAAAGAACATTATCCAAAAAAGCAAAAATATCAGTCAATCTACCTCATGGAGATTGATTCAAATACTAAATTAGATATTAGCAAAGCCACCAACATGTTAACAAAAAAAGGTCAGCACATCATAATAAAGCGATTGTACTAGGAATGCAAGGCTGGTTTAACATTTGAAAATCAAGCAACATAATTTACTGCATTAAGAAAATAAAAGAAAGAAAAAAGAAGAAATTACACTGTTATTTTCTGTCAACACGAGTCACAAACAGAAAATTCAAATGAATGTATAGATACACCATTAGAATTAATAATTCTGTTAAGGTAATTGGACACACAATCAATAAAGAGAAGTAAATTTAAAAAATAAATTTATATACAGCAACAAATAAATATTATGTTAAGCAAAATAAGTCAGTCAGAGAAAAAAACAAATATGGTTTCACTCATATGTGGAATTTAAGAAACAGAACAGATGAATGTAGGGGGAGGGAAGGATAAATAAATAAATAAATAAGTAACAAAAACAGAGAGGGAGGCAAGCCATAAGAGACTCTTAAATATACAGAACAAACTGAGACTTGCTGGAGGGGAGGTGGGGGGGGGATGGGCTAAATGGGAGATGGGCATTAAGGAGAGCACTGGTTAGATGAGCATTGGGTGTTATGTGTAAATGAGCATCCCCTAAATTCTACTCCTGAAACCAATACTACACTATGTATTAACCAATTTGAATTTAAAAATAAGTAAATAAATAAATTATATTCAAGAATTGTATGGGGGGTTGGCTGAAATACATGGTGAGGATTAAAGAGTACAATGTAGAGTTCTTGAATCACTATATTGTTACACCTGAAACTAACATAATAGTGTGTGTTAACTATACTGGAATTAAAATTTTTTAAAAACTTGATAAAAATAAAAAGACTTATAGTACAATATTATGATCATGTTAATTCTCCTCAAACTGATCTATAATATAACTCCAGTCTAAATCTCAATTGTTTTAAAATAGAAACTTACAAAGACATTCTCACATTGAAGTGTAGGTGCAAAAGGCCTAGAGGGACAAAAACAACCTTGAAAAAGAAAAACAAAGTTGGAACATTTACACTAACAGGGAGCAAGGCTTACTTTCAAGCTACAGCATTAAAACTGTGGTCCTGAAGGACAGATAGATCAAACGAACAAAATAGAGTCTAGAAACAGCTCCAATCATATATGGTCCCCAGATATATGACAAAATACCTACAGCTATTTAAACAACAGCAGCAACAACAAACAAGGTGACAGTAATAAAGATTGGGAGGATCCGGAGCAAGGGGAGCTCGAATTCCTTGCTGCTCAGAGTGTAAATTGGAACTCTTTGGAAGAGAGTTTGGAAAATTGAACTCTATGGAAAAGAGCTTCGGCACTTTTTATTAAAGCTGAAGATAAGTATACCCCATTGCCTGGCAGTCCTAATTCTGGGATACAACTATACAAAAGCGTATACTGTGTACACCCAAACCATATCCTAGAATGTTTCTGCCAGCCCCATTCATAAAAGCTCCAAACCGGAAACAGTTCAAAGACGCTTCAAAAGACAACAATAAATACAATATGTGTGTTCATATAAATACTCCACAGCAGTGAAAAGGGACAAACCCTTGCTACATACAAAAATGTGAATGATTCTCACAGATGTAAGGTTGAGTGCATGAAGCAAACACAAAAATATATACAATAAATAATTCTGTTTCCATAGGCAAAATGAAATGATGGTGATGGAAGTTAGGGTGGTGGTTACCTTTGGAGGAGCTCTGAAAGGGAGCACAAAGTGGACTTTGGGGGTGTTGGTGACATGGGTTTGTTCACTTTGTAGCATTCACCAAGATTTCTGAACTTTCCTCTGTTTTCTATCCTGCTACAGAGCTATAGAAAAAGGAAGCATATTTTAGGAAAAAATTAGTCTGGAAATATTTTTATTCTTAAAGGAAAATGTGGTGCACTTTGATCACATAATAACAAAGTATGCAATTGTTGGTTTCTTTTCTTTTTTGTTTCCAAATATCAAAAACCTTGGGGATAACTGTCAGTTGTAGTGACCATATTAATTTAGCTGGTTTATTTCTGTCTTCTTCCTAAACGGCTTTTAATTTTCTATTTCTTCTTATTATATGTGTGTTTTCAATTATGTGCTGCCTCAAATCTTCTCAGGAATCAATTTCTGATGAAAATGTATGATACATACCATTTTACCTAGGAATTGTGGTTACCATTTTGCTTTACTTTTTTTTAACACCAAAAAGCTAAAAATGAGCAACCAAACCAGGATGCTTACACTTTTTTCAATTAAATGTAAAAGACCAAGATGTCCACTAGATGGAGGCAAACCCCAAGGCTAAATTTTTCTTGTAAAAAGTTAAATATATTTAACGTAAAAACATACAGTCTATAGTAAAGAAACAAAAACTTAATATATTACCAGAGTTAATATATTGCTTTGTATTACTTAATGGTGTATTAGTAAAAACTAGATGGATTAAGTTTCACATTCTGTGTTTAATTACACAGATTTTAAATATATCTCCAGAAGTCACCTCAGTCTGTCCTCTGCTTGGAACAGGGCAATTGAATAAAGCAATGGGGGTGCCTGGGTAACTCAATGGTTTCCTCATATGCCTTTGCCTCAGGTCATGATCCAGGGTCCTTGGAGTGAGTCTTGCATTGGGCTCCTTGCTGTCTGGGGAGCCTGCTTCTCCCTCTGCCTGCCACTCCCCCTGCTTGTGTGCTCTCTTGCTCTCTCTCTCTGACAAATAAATAAGATCTTTTAAAATAATGAACGGAACAATGGATGTTTCATGCCATTGTTTTTTCTTCAGAGTAGCGGATGCTATAACCATTTTGGTTTCCTATTCTAGATTCTAACAGTCCTCATCTAAATTATTTAAAAACCCAGTAGATTCCTTCTTTTAACAACAAAGCCATCTTTTCAAATTTGTTGAGTGCTTTCAAATGGACTAATTATTTTAGAGTAATTATTTAGTTTCCTACTCTCATTTAATGGAAAAAACATTCCTTCCTGTTATAAAGGGCTTTTTGCTTGGGATTGTAAAATTCCAGTGAATTGGTGAAATCTTCCTCTTCTACTTCTTTTGTTGTCTTTGTTGTTGGTGGTGGTGTTAATAACTCACAGGACTCTGCAGTGCCTAGAAAGTTATACCCTTAGAATTCAGCGAAGAGAGTCTCATATGCCCCTGCTTGCTATGGAAAATAACACAATGATGAAACTAGTCATCCCTGGATACCCTACTTGTAAAAATCATTGAAAAAATCATTAAAAAACTATTGAAGTATAACTTCTGTACAAAAACCTGCAACCCATTTAAAGAATACAACTCAATGACTCAGGCAGTGGTATACAGCTGCAAAACTACCACTACAAACATGATATAGAACATTTCCATCTCTTCCAAAAGATTCTTCCTGCCCTTTTGCAATCCAACTTCTGTCCCTGTTGCCAGGCAACCACTGCCTTGCTGTCTATAAATGAGTTAATTTTCCCCCTAAATGGATATTCAGTTGGAACACAGTACTATGTCTTTAAGAGAATTCCTACTCCAATCCTTGGCACCTTTGTCAAAAATTAATTGACCATTTCTTTCTGGATCAGTTCCTAGAGTCTCTTTTTTCCTATTGATCTACATGTCTATCCAATACCACACTGTCATTACACTGCCATTTCATAGTTAGTTTTGAAATCA